GCCAAGTTCGCCACCCCTTCTAATAATCTCGTTTCCTAATGCCTCATAATACTTTCATTGATAATTAGCCTTTTATAGTGTATTCTTTTGCTTGGAGAACCGTGTAATAATTTGAAGATCTTCCTTAGTCATGACTTGCTCTCAAGAACTCGTATGTGAGACAATGATGTTAGTATGATATTCATATGTGTGACAATGATTTTCCTTTTGTTTGTTTTATAACATTTTATGATACTCGAACATATATGTTACTTTCATATGTACCGCAAAATGCTAAGAAATGACTCAACATCGTTTAATCAGAACATAATATAGTCCAGGGGCATAACAAAATTTTCATCAGGTATATAAAAAATTAAGCTAATGGGACAGAAACATAAAAGAACTAGATGCCTATGCATAGCAACAACTTATGCATAGTGACAACTGATGTGATGATTTTTGCTCGATCATCTTCTGCAAACCGAGTATCACATAAGATATCCCGAGACCAAGAGTCCAGGTGAAGAGGAGGTAGTCTGATGCCAAACCAAGCAAACGCTTCTTCCCAGAAGTGTTGCGCATGAGTGCAGTGAATAAGGGCATGCACGAGATCTTCCTCCATGGCCAAGCAAAAATTTCATCTATCAATGACTGCGATATGACAGTGTTTGAGTGTGCACTCATTAGGCAGGATCCCGTTGAAGTACACACCGTACCACCAAAACACACAAACCTTTGGGATAACTTTGAGTTTCCACAGAGAACTCCACAACTGTTTTTCATCTCTTGAAGCACCGGTATCCGCCCCTTCTCCTAGAGCAACACGCTCGTTCTGAGTCATTAGAGCACGGTATGCCGATTTAACAGTATAGTTACCTGAAGTCTCAAAGGCCCAAGGAAAAACATCATCACCACCCCCACGTCTGATTGGTATGTTAAGGACCGCATCCGCGTCTGGGCAATGAAAGTAGATCGAACTAGCACCTGTCGCCACGACCAGTTCTCCGGATCAATGAGATCCGACACCAATTGGACAGTGATATTTGCAGGTTTCATCAAAGGGGACATAGAGATTGTTCCCGGAATCCATTTATCTGTCCAAGCACCAATGGAAGTCCCATTTCCCACTCTTTTAATCAAGCCTGCCTTCAGAGCTTCTCTGCCAGCTATGATCGCCCTCCAAGTTGCAGAAGCAGACTTAGGAACTGTTGCATGCATAAAATCCGTGTCAGGGAAGTAGCGGCCCTTCAACACCCTTGCACAGAGCGAATTTGGATTGGTTAAAAACCTCCATCCGTGTTTGCCAAGTAGCGCAAGGTTAAAGTGGTGATGTTCTCGAAAACCCATGCCTCCCTTGTATTTCGGTGTCGCTAGACTCTTCCACGACACCCTATGCATTCCATTCTTGTCAAGAGAGCTACTCCAGAAATATTTAGCCATTGAAGAAGTAAGAGTCTTACATACTTGGAGTAGCTCATGTGTTTACTGTGTTGATGTGACCTAGTTATGAGGTATATATAGGAATACATGTGAGAGAGAGACTTGAAGTAGAGCACAAATCATACATGATTTAAACATATTTTATCTCTAACTCCTATCTCTCTATTGGAAACATGTTCATACTTCGAACAGGGTCGTGATGCAAAGGAAGGCGCAATGAATCTAAGTGAAGTACGGATCTCTCTTCCTTTGTTCTTAGC